TTCTCAGTCATGAGGTTCAACTGTGAGCCGCCATCAAGTAACACACGAGCAGGATGGTAATGGCCGAATCTATCTTTAATTTTTACGACTGCTGTGGCAAGAATTACTTGATCGGCACTTAAAACGTGACCTAAGTACGCTTCTGGAGGTGCGACTGCGTGTGGAGCGAGTGAATTTGGCACAGCTACAGGATATCTGTGCAACAACGAATGGTGTGGTTTTGAACACACCCGACACTTGGAAGCCTTGCAACTGGAAACTACATGACCCACATTCAAGCAATTGAGGCACATTTTTTGAGTTTTGGCGAACTCAAATCGCTGCATAACGGGAATAGATCCGAAAGAAGGGCAAGTATAAATATTGTGTTCCGCAGAACTACAGTATGTGCACTTCGAGATCGGTTTTGAAGGCTTTGAAGGACCCTTTGTGCAAGAAAACGAAGCTTTACTGTTTCTTGCAGGTTCGGCTCGCGGTTTATTTTTAACCCGAGTTGTCTCTTCAGCCGCTAAATATTGGTAACGTCTATTTAACTGCTTAGCGCAGTCATCCCAAGAAGGCAACTTGTCATAGTCGAGCTGTTCCTCAAAACGAGATTTGGTTACATGATCAACTTTGGCCATAACCATATGTATGATCATTGCGTTTGAGATGTCCTTTTCACTTCCCAACGAAGTTAAAGACGCATAAATGGCAGAAACAGTGTCAATGATGGACCGCAAAGTAGACGCATTAGGTTTGGTCATACTTGGGATGCCAAACAATTGCGAGATAGTGTCGAAAAATATCAAACATTTGTTGTCGTACACAGACTTGAGGCTAGCAATGGCTTTCGAGTAATTGCAGTCCGTTAACTGAAACGGTTTCACAACTCCTAGAGCCTCACCTGACAAGCACGACACCAAATGATTAAACTTCTCGACGTTGGTCAACGAAGGATCGTCATGAACTAGGCTTTCAAATAAGCACATAAAATTCTTAAATTCGGCATGCTTTCCACTGAATGTAGGCAGCCGCATTTTGGGCAATTGGGACGGTCCCAGTCCCAGTCAACGGTGACTGGCCATCATAGAACAGTCATGAGAAGTCTGACTTTCAACCTTTTGTTTCGTTGCCTTCACATACAACGCCTTAGTTGAAATGCACAAATCCTCAAGTGGCCCTCTACTATCGTTACTTGGATTGAGACTATCCAAATCTGCTTGAAGCGCCATAGCTTTCTTTATGTAATCTTCTAACAGCTCGAGACGACACTCGAGTTCTGTTTGTTCAAACGAAATTGTCTTTAACTGAAATGCTGTTCTCATACGAGCAATATCAGCGCTAACCTTATCAAATTTCTGCAAGCATTGTACTAGTTAGAACTAGATTTAGCTACTACTTGTTGCTTTTCAGATTCCGACATGGTAGAGTATAACCAAAATAAACTCTAAACAAGTTGCAAATCAAAGAAAATGAAAGCCGAACTTTCCTAACAGCCCTCGCAAATAGCAACGCGCTAAAACAGCAAGAGACCAACTGAAATGCACACAGATTACGTACACACGCACTCAATACAGTATGCACGCAAGCAAAGTAGCAGTCCAAGCGACCGCACAAACAACAACGAAATCTGCAAGCAGTCTCAGCTGTACTCAGAAAATAGGCGTCGATTACCGCAAGCACGCTTGTTGGCAACGCTAATCCGAACGGGTAGCGGGGGAAGTTCGTTGGCCCAGCGACAAGTGTAGCCGAAAAAGGGCGCGCACAAAGGAGAGAGCGACAAAATTCTTTTGCTACGCTAGCGGCGCAAGCAACAACAAAAGCTATGTTTCTATGTATGCAGCTGATGCAACAAATCTTTACCAAAAAAACCAACAAAATAGAACCAAAATAACTTCAAAATATTTGTTTTTTATGTTAAAAATCAGCTTAACAGCCCTTTTTTAATTATTGTTGTTTGTTTTGCCTCGAGGTTTTGTTAATAATTATGTTTATGAGGGTGTATAATGTGTTAAATTGTGCAAGGTATGACGTATGTATGTATATAATATGTGGTTATCGGCGAGTATGTATGTACATATGCATGTACATATGTATGATTATGTATTTGTGCATGTAAAGTGGTTGCACAAAATAATTTATGTGCCAAAAATTTTAAACACCTTTCGCTTGCACAAATTTGCAGCAATTAAACTTCTTAGAGCTTTATGCTCAATTGTTGGCCCAGAATACCTGTAAGCTCTCAAAAGAGTCCACCGAAACTTCCCTGGATTCCGAGCGACGATCACCCATTAGCCAAGCCAAATGATAGTACCACAAGTAGGGCAGACAGCAGCTCCACAATCCAAATGAGCAGTTGTAGTTGCTGATCCAGAAAGGCACCAAGCTCCAAATCCAAATCAATGTATGTACATATATGGTATCCAAACGACACCAGATCCAAATCAAACGAGGTACTAATCACACGACCGCGCACAAAAACCAAGCCACAAAGACCGCAAACAATCGAGAAAATAATCTTGAGAAAACCGAAGTCCCTGCTCGGGCGCCAATGAAAAATCGCTAGCTTTTTAGCGATTGCAACAAACAATATTTAACTAGCATTAATGAGACGCGGTATTCTTTCGATTATTAATATGGCTTTTAATGGCTTGGTAATTGTGCAAAACGATGTTGAATGTGCGAGAATTATTTAGCCAGTGATTTGCCTGCTGCCGCTACAAGGCAGCGGGCCGGCATAAGCAAAGGAATGCCCAAAGAGAGCGCCACAGAGAGCGCAGTAAAGGGCGCGATAGAGAGCGCAAAGAAAAGGCTTAGAGCTAAGTAGGGTGCTCCAACAGTTGTGCTGCCGGATTTTGCGCTCGAGCAAGTCCCACAAATGCTCTATAGGATTGAGGTCTGGAGATTGGGGAGGTTGCAAACGTTTTTTTACGTTATACAGCAACCACAGCCTTACGCTGTGAGCTGTATGTTTGGGATCATTATCTTGTTGGAAATAAAAATCATTTTCCAGCCCCAACTTCTGGGCACTTGGGAGCAAATTGTCCTTCAAAACTTGGATATAGCCTTTTTGGTCCATTATCGACTCTATGAATTCCAGCTTCCCAACGCTATTAGCTGCCATGGACCCCCAAATCATTATTCCTCCTCCGCCGTGTTTGACAGTTGGCACTAAATTTTCTTTATTTAAGGCTGTACCAGTTTTTCTCCACACCAATTTCTTGCCTTTTATGCCAAAAATGCAGAACTTGCTCTCATCCGAGAAAATGACCTTGTCCCAAAATTCAGCAGGCTTCGACACGTGCTCATTTGCGAACTCCATGCGCTTTTCAAAAACAACTTCAATGCATAGCAAAAGTCTTTTGCAAACTTCAAACAAAAGAAAAAGTGCAACTAAGATAACTGTAATTGCATATTCTCTTATTCTACACAGTTTAGTCTGCTTGTACGCAGACTTTTGCGGGTCCATTTTTATACCCTGTGTAAAATATATATATTAGGTTTGTGCAAAGTATGTAACATGCATAAGGAAGCATCTCCGACCCCATAAAGTATATATATTCTGAATCAGCATGACGAGATAAATCGATCTAGACATGTTGGTTTCTTTGCTCTATCCCTCGTCGTAGTTCCTGGTGGGTAGAAGTATGAGGGTGTACACCCCCCCCCCCCCCCCCCAGGACGATTATTCAATTCGGTCAATTCTAAGAAAAGTTATTAGCGAAACAAATTCTCTACAGTACAACCCTCCCAAACTGCAGCAACAAGTTCGCTCTTCTTCTTCATCTTTTTGTTGCTGCTTTGGGCGCATATAACTCAGTGACGGAAGTTTACTTGGGTACAGGGTATTACACTGTCGGGCTTGCTCGACTGTAGCGTTCTCTCTTGTTTTATTTTGATACAACCCCCCCCCCCCCCCACTCCACCGCAATTCGTGCTTTTATACATCTCCGACCCCATAAAGTATATATATTCTGAATCAGCATGACGAGAGAAATCGATCTAGACATGTCCGTCCGGCCGTCTGCCCGTCCGTCTGGATGAACGCTAAGATCTCAGAAGCTAGAAATACCAAAGTTGGCATCTAGATTCTCCTAGGTCCGAGAAAGGACGAGTTTATTTTATTTTTTTTAATTTTCCCCCCCTTCCCTCGCTACAGAATTCCGTCAATAGCGCCAACATTTCAAATCCTACCTAAACCAAACACATATATATATATATATGCCATATATATATATAATATATATATATATATATAGATATATAGATATATATATATATATATAGATATATATATATATATATATATATATATATATATATATATATATATATATATATATATATATATATATATATATATATATATATATATATATATATATATAATTTTCTACTGTTGTTTAAAATTTGATTCAATTCTGTCAATGTGCCAACCCCCACAAACTGCAGCAACAAGTTCGCTCTTCTTCTTCCTCTTTTTGCTGCTGCTTTGGGCGCATATAACTCAGTGACGGAAGTTTACTTGGGTACAGGGTATTACACTGTCGGGCTTGCTCGACTGTAGCGTTCTCTCTTGTTGTTTATAAAAGTTGCCAAGTTTCATCATGATAGGTCAATTGTGAAGAAAGTTATAGCCATAAACCAAATTGGAGGTCAAAATTCCAAAAATTACGGGAGTTATGGAAAAAACACACATTGCTCGGGAGTGGGGGGTGCATCGAAAAAAAAAAACTCAAACACGTACTTTCTAGGACTTTGGAGAATCTGGATATCAAGTTCGGTTTTTCTAGTTCTTATACCTTCTAAGATCCTTGCGTTCATAAGGAAGGACAGACGTACACGGCTAAATCGACTCGTATTGTCATCCTGATCGATAATATATATACTTTGGGGGCCTCCACGCCTCCTTCTGTATGTTACATACATTCGCACAAAACCCTTTCCCCCTTTGGGTACAGGGTATTCAAATTCGCATGGAAAAAAATTTAAATTTTCAAATTAATTTAAAATTTCAGGTTGTATGCCATTATGATTTGGATTCCTATAGCAGATTTGATTGAAATACATGGTTGTGACTATTTTGACACTGTTGATCTAACAGGCAGCAAGAGATTTTCCAACGGCTCATATCTATATGAGAGGGTGCTCATTCCTCCATACCTAACCGGCGAATATGACTATGAAATAATATTTGATGGCCACCGCATTAATGTTCCGCAACACGTCCGAGGATGTGTGTGTCAGATGAAAGCCTGCATCCGATTTTGCTGCCATCCTCAGCATCTGCTTGTTTTCAATAAGCGGGAATGTACAAGCGTGCAGCCAGAGACAATTTCATATAGTCCGTATGTAAATATTACTTTAGACCATCATAAAGTGGTCCAAAAAAATATAACTGCAGAGTTTGTAGCGCAGCATGGGCTCCCAATACCTTGTGCCATCCATTATGCACTCCACCCGGAACAGGATGTCGCAGATAATTGGAGCTTGTTCGAGGTTCGGGTTTAATGGTTGTCATTTTTTGTTGTTAAGACGGGAATGAAACTTTGTATTTACAGAATGGAACACTACTACGCCACTATGATAGAAATTATATGTCCAAGATGGACTATTGCTTGCAGCCGGAAAAATTCGATGGCCATTATAAGCTTACCGTTCACAATTGCGGTATAGCTGTGGCCGAGAAATGGGACAAAATTATGTGCAGATATGGTAATCAAAACGAAGCTTGAGCTTGGAATAAAGGGCGATCCCAGTCGGGCGCTGATTAAACAATATATTTATATGCATTTCAATTTCAGTTATGATATGCTCCATAATATGCATTATTTTAACAATTTTTGTATACGTGCTCCTACCCAAGCTTCAAAAACTTCATGGTAAGTGTTTTATCTGCTATCTGTTAAGCCTAGGAGTCGGATGTACTGCGCTAATAATCGACCAGGTCGGAGATTGGGAATATTGTCTTACAACTGGTGAGATTCCGAAACTTTCAAAAATGGTTCAGCTGCCTGAACTTATTTTAATTTTTTAGGTTATGTTGGCTATTTTGCAATTATGGCTGCTTTCCTCTGGTTAGCTATAATGAGCTTTGATCTGTGGAACACATTTCGGGGAACAATACGACATATGACAAAAGCACCTTTCTTCCTTTCCTACAATATCATCGCCTGGAGTACTGCATTAGTACTGTTGGCAATTGTGTATGCAATGGACTTTATAGCTACTGAGGACACGCCTCTTCTCTGGATACCAGGAGTTGGATATTATTCGTGCTGGATTAAAAGTATACTTGTAATGTCTTCTGGATTATATGCTCTAATATAACCTTGAGCGTCTTTTTCTGCAGCTGAAGATTGGCCGGCGATGATATATTTCTATGGTCCCATGATGCTGCTCATAATTTTCAACGTGTCCATGTTTATACCGACAGCGGTACGCATATATAAAACCCAGAAGGAATTTCAAAATATAGTCGGCCAAGCGCGACATCGAAAAATGGTGAATGAGTGGCAAACGTAAGGAAATACATAAAGTTGATGGTGTTGTCCAAAATGTCTTCCATATTTACCTACAGGTTCAGTCTTTTTCTGCGATTGTTCGTAATCATGGGCGTGACCTGGATTTTTGAAATATGTTCATATCTATCGAGTAACCACAGCACACTCCGGAAATTTTTCATTGTTGCAGATCTGCTAAATTCAGCACAGGGCATTCTAATATTCGGCTTATTCGTCTTAAAGCCTAGTGTTTGGAAACTTTTATTGAATCGGTAAGTAAATCGATCGAGGGATTTAGCCTTACAGTCGCTTTGAAGCGCGCAAATGAGATTTTTGTAACTCCGATTTTTGTTTTATGCTAAAGCATACAAGGTAAGCAAACCCCCGAGGAAGCCGATGGGTCGGAGGAAGACATCTCTCTGTATGCACTCGAAATAAACAAACACTACTAACTAGGCCCGCATGTTCATGAGTGGTTTTGAGTTTTGTGTTGGGGGCGAGGACCGTAAAAATTTAAACAGTCGTTGCAGGAATTTCTCTCCGTTCGGCAGAGTAAATAAATGAAAAGCATTCTGTAAGTTGTTCTCCGAGGTAAAATCAACGCATATTAATGTAACTAATTCTCTTACATGTTTGCATTTATTTGCGATCTTACATTTCTGTGTTCAATCTCAATGTTTTTTCGTGCCTTCTGCATAGACGAGATCGGCTGTTGCGGCTTGTACCTATCCGACCTTGCCCTTAATTGTTATGCTCTCACATTTCTATCTTTCTTTCAAACCTATGTTTTTTAATAAAATACTTCGCACTCACATGGAGGGTTTGCCTCATTTGATGGAATATTTATAGGGACACATATTTGGATGCGGACCTATTGATGTATTTCATCCATCATTTTAAAATTATAAACTTCTACATTGAAGCGAAGGTTGTTTCCGCTGGTATTTTTGTTAATTTATTACATTTTAAATATGATTGAAATTCATTCTTCTATGTCTCCTGTTTGATACTCGTATCTTACCTCATAACAACCATTTTTATTGTTATACCCTGTACTATATATTATTGATCAGGATGACAAGCCGGGTCGATATAGCCATGTCCGTTTGTCTGTCCGTCTGTCCGTTTGTCTGTATGAACGCAAGGGGAATCCAGATTCTCCTGAGCCCGAGAACGAACGAGTTTGTTAATTTTTATACCCTGTACCCGTAGGGTAAAAAGGGTATATTAGGTTTGTGCAAAGTATGTAACATACAGAAGGAAGCATCTCCGACCCCATAAAGTATATATATTCTTGATCAGCATGACGAGAGAAATCGATCTAGACATGTCCGTCCGTCTGTCCGTCCGTCTGGATGAACGCGAGGATCTCAGAAACTATAAAAGCTAGAATAACTAAAGTTGGCATCCAGATTCCCCTAGGTCCGAGTAAGGACGAGTTTATGTTTTTTTTTTTAATTTTCCCCCCCTTCCCCCGCTACAGAATTTCGTCAATAGCGTCCACATTTCAAATGCTACCTAAACCAAACTTTGCACACAAAATTTCTATATAATTATCTACTGTTGTATAAAATTTTATTCAATTCGGTCAATTCTAAGAAAAGTTATTAGCGAAACAAATTCTCGCCAGTACAACCCCCACAAACTGCAGCAACAAGTTCGCTCTTCTTCTTCCTCTTTTTGCTGCTGCTATGGGGGCATATAACTCAGTGACGGAAGTTTACCTGGGTACAGGGTATTACACTGTCGGGCTTGCTCGACTGTAGCGTTCTCTCTTGTTTCTAATGTAATGTTGAGTTTGTGCATATATGTATGTATGTACATATGTGTGTGGTTGCAATGGAATTTGCCGCTTAGTACAAATTCCTTGCATTCCATTGCATACTATGAAAGTAAGAACTAGTCGCAACTATTGTCAAGAGTTTTTATGTGCTCGCACATACCTACAAGTAGAAATGCATTCGCACACATTCACATACATATGGACATTTCAACACCCACATTGTTGGTGGCAGTACAGGATCCAAAGATGGTATTTTCAACAAGATTGGTTGTTCGTAGGGTGTACGTATTTTAACCGAAAATTGGATTGATGAGAATTCAAATTCATGGCAATATGTATATGTTTTAACTTGTTTGTACCGTTCAATAACTGAACAATGTAGTTTGTAAAAGTAAATTGGCATCCCTCTTTGCAAAATACTTACTAATTTATTCCTGTGGCGTAGTTGTTTACATACACGTATACTTAGAAAGAACATACACTGTTTTCGTTTGGTTTTACAAGTTATTTGTTTGTATTATTCGTTTAAGCTCTAAAGTCCTAACGTTTTCACTTCCTTTGTTGTTTTACTAGGACATAAGTCCTTGACCTTTTTGCAATAACTTTTAGTTTTGTCTTGCACTTTCTTGCACAGCATGAATTAATTTAAGTAACTTTAAATGAATTTTAAAACTATTATTATTATTTTCTAGATGCTCGCGACCCTCGTTGCCATACTATTGGGAGCTTCGTAAATTACAATCGGACACGTCTTAAGATGATCAATGAACTCCATAATACCGCCCGCCAAAATATACATATATTACTCGCACAAGCAAACTAAATAAATGTAAAACTTAGTCGAGAACGGCTGCACAGATTTTTATAGTTTTTGATTTGTTGTATTTGTATTCGTCCAAAATAACTATTAAAACCATTGGAATTCTAATTTCAAAGTCAAAAGCTTGTATGAAAACTCGGAATTGTAAACCGATGACAAATGAACAAATAAACCGAACCAGATTTTTCTGTCAATCCATTCAGTCACTCACGTCGTCCAATTTTTGTCCGCCCAAGGGGAGTTTCCGCTTAAATACGCTTAAATCCGTACGGCTCATTCAGCGTTAAAATTGCCTTTAAATCTTCAAGGTACTGAACAACCGACATGTAACATTGAAAAACACTCTGCAATGGGAAAAGTTTTGATAGCCTCAAAATCATCATCTGGGACGAATGCAGAATGGCACACAATCGCGCATTGGAAGATCTTGATCGAACCTTAAAAGATCTGCGCAATGACTCGAGAATTTTTGGTGACTCAATGATTTTACTATCTCGCGATTTCCGCCAAGCTCTGCCAGTCATTCCAAGATCGACTGCTGCTGATTAATTAAATGCTTGTATCAAATCCTCAAATCTGTGGTGCTATGAATGTGAAGAAACTTCAATTGACAGAACATATGAGACTTGTATTGTTGAACGAATCATTCGGATTGATTTCCAACGAATTTGTGCAATTTCGTATCATCGAAAGACGAGCTCATCAGCAAAGTGTTCCCGGACATTATTGCTAACCACAAAAAAAACCAAATGGTTAAGCGAGCGAGCAATTTTGGCAACAAAGAATAAAGATGTGAATGACTTTGTTGTAATTTATACTTCAATTATACACCCAAATAATAACACACAAGATATATGTTTTATGTTTTATATTCAACTTTATATTTAATTCCGCAACACCAGCAACACAACCTCACTCGAACAGAGTGAACAAGAGAAGGGGAAGATGCCAACCGCAGTGTGGCCATAAAATATGTTTTCATTAATACTAAAGGAATCAAACAAACCGATATATATACTACAATGGTATTTTTGTATAAGGAATAGGGGTATTCCAACACGCCCCCTCAAAAATAACATTAGTAAATCATAAATTTAACATATAGCAATCTTTTGTAATTCTCATATACTTATTCTAGTGTGTGCGGTGTGCATTCTGGGAATAATTATGTGATCCATTCGCTGCAAGGATACGGGGAAAACCCAGAAAAACCCGATCAGATCACTCTTACATATATGTTAACACACAATTAAATTTTTGTAACTTCATGTTTTTAAGAACTAATAAAAAAACATTTCAATTCAAATGTGACAACAAAAAAAAGCTTCAGCATCAGCAATCAACAGATCCGTCATCTTGCAGTAATCCCAATTCATTACGTAATTCCAAAAATTTTGCAGTAGGTAGTGGCTTTGTAAAGATGTCAGCAAGTTGTTTCTCTGTGCGAATATACTCAAGATAAATTGTATTACTTTCAACTTGCTCTCTGACAAAATGATATTTTATATCAATATGTTTAGCTCGTTTATGACATGAGGGGTTATTTGCTATACTAATACAGCCTTGGTTATCTTCGAAAATTTTAATTGTATTTTCGAGATTGATATGAACACTTTTAAGAAGAGATTTTAGCCACAACGCTTCTCTCACAGCTTCAAATAATGCCATGTACTCAGCTTCAGTTGATGAAGCTGCTACTGAGTTCTGCCTCTTTGTATTCCAACAAATTAGATTTAAATCGAACATTTTGAATAAATACCCTGTGGTACTTTTTCTATCAATTTCATTACCTCCCCAATCAGAATCTACATAGCCAATTAATGTATTTTTAAATGCTGCATTTCTTTTAAAAATCAGTTTTATATCAATAGTGCCCTTTAAATACCTAAGGACCCTTTTTAAGCACTGCCATAGCTCGGGATTATTTTTACTACTATATCTGCTCAAGATATTTACTGCAGTAGTTAAGTCTGGACGTGTACATAGCATTATGTACATTAAACATCCTATGAGGTTACGACATGGAGCATTGCAGTTTTCATCTGAATTAAGAGACTCATAATTTATTTTGCTTGGTAAGGGAGTACTTACTGCATTGCAATTATACATGTTAAATTTATTTAAGATTCTTTTCACATATGCAGCTTGGCTCAAATAAATTTTATCTTCATACATTTCTATTCTAATACCAATAAAATGTCTTCTTTCTTTTAGGTCGGTCATCCTAAACTTTTCCATTAAATACTTTTTGAAATTATTCATTGTTATCATATTCCCCGTAGCTATTACCACATCATCAACATATAACAGCACATAAATATTTTCCTTGACATCACCTTTATCTAGAATGTAAATACAGCGATCTACTGAAGAGTTCACAAATTCACAGTCTTTCAATGCTTGCTCAAACACTTCAAACCAGCATCTTGCGGCTTGTTTGAGTCCGTAAATTGCCTTATTCAATTTACTTACATTATCACCATTGCATGGTGTACCTTGAGGAAGTCTCATATATATTTCCTCTTTTAACGTGCCATTTAGGAAAGCTGTTTTTACATCCATTTGATGAACCTTCAAGTTATATTGAATTGCTAACGATAATATAAATCGAAAACTTGAAATTCTAGCTACAGGAGCAAAAGTCTCTTCAAAATCGACTTGGTATTTTTGAGTAAATCCTCGTGCAACTAATCTAGCTTTATATCTAATTGGATTTCCTAGTTCGTTATATTTAACGGAAAATACCCATTTGCTATCTACAATGTTTTTATGTTTAGGCCTTTCTGTGATTGTCCAGGTATTATTTAATTTATGAGCACTTAGTTCTGTTTTTATGGCTTCCTCCCAAAACAATTTATCC